CTCCCGCCCGGGGTGGCCAAGGCAGCAGACCGAGCCAGCCGTGCCCCCTTCCCCTACCCATGTGAGACGGCCGGCCAGGCAGGAGGACGCAGCACCACCTGTAGACTGGGCTCCGCTGACCTCTGCACAGGAGGGAGCCCTGGCCAAGCCCATGGAGCCTTCTCAAGGCCTCCCCTTCGGGGACCTTCCTGGGCCCGACGCCGGCACGCCTGGCCCGAGGGTCTGGGTTGGGGGTTGGGCAGGGGTGCCGTCCTGGGGTCTCCCGCTGCACACAGTGACCTGACCCAGACGCTCTTGCTACAGGGCCTGGGGCGCCCGAGCGGTGGAGCCTCCGGAGAAGGACAGCCAGCTCATGTGGTTCCTCATGGCACCAAAGCTCTTGGCCACCACTGGGGAGAAGCGGCAAGGTCAGGGCAGGCGCTGTCCCCTGGGGAGAGGGGTGCAAGTTCATGGCAGGGGGCTCGCAAGGGGCCGACTTGGATGAGTGAAGCCTCGGGAGGGAAACTGAGGCCACACTTCCCTGTGTCTGTCCCTAGGTGCCGAGGCCCTGGCAGAGACCGAGGACACCCTGGACCGTGTCCCAAGCCCCAGGTGGGGCCCTGAGCCTGACCATGACAGCCTGCACCACAACTGGCCCGAGGAGGCCCAGGGGGAGGCAAGGCCCTGGGCTTGGGTGCTGCCACCTCAGCAGGTGCTTCAAGGGCCAGAGGAGGACCGAGACCACATCTACCACCCCAAGGAGGAGCCCTGGGAGCCTTGACCCCCGCACAGCTGCAAAAATAAACCCTGCAAAGAGGCGGCGGCCACATATGTCTTCAAGAACAGTGATTGTGGACCCCACCTGCTCTGTCTGGGAGAAGGGGGGCCACAGGCTGGCCCCGGGCAGCCCCAGGCTGACGCTTGGCTCCTTGCACCCAGCGCCCATGCGTTGGGAGCTGTCTGCTTCCCCCAGGCCTCCTCATGTGCTGGGGTGCGGACGGAGCTACTCTGGGCTCCCCGCGGACAGGACCGGAGAATGGAAAGGACTCAGGAGCAGGGAGCCCAGTCGCTGACTGCTCGGGGACGGGGGGGCAAGTGGACAGGTGCTCAGGGGGACGGGGGACAAGTGGACAGGTGCTCGGGGACGGGGGGGGCAAGTGGACAGGTGCTCAGGGGGACAGGGGACAAGTGGACGTGCTCAGGGGGACGGCAGGCAGGTGCACAGGTGAGTGGGGGTGGACTTGGGCCCAGCCTTTCTGTCCTCATTTTCTGGGCAGTTGCCGGCGCGCTCTGAGGTGACCAGTCCTCTGACACGGCCTGGCTCAGCAGGCCTGATGTTGCAGACGCAGGTATAGGGTCACTGGAATTTTCCACAAGTTGTACATGTGCTGGGGTGTGTGCAAGTGCAGGCGGGGTTTCTGTGTGGCAGTCGCGCTCCGGCATCGGGCGGGAAGCACTTGGTACCTGAAACTTCTCTGCCGCCCAGACTGAGCCTGCTGGGGGCTAAGACAGAACGAGGCTCCCGGCTGCTCCAGAGGCCGTGGGTCTGTCCTGGGGACCTCGCGTGCCCTACAGCTCCTATGTCACCCCACGGGTCCCAAGCTCCTGGAGGCCTCAAATGGCAGCCTCACCCCAAGATGCGCTGCTCAGAGGCGTACATGCCTCCCGGCTTCGAGGCCCCACAGACAGAAGCTCTTTTGCCCTCAGTACCAACGAGGAGATTGAGGCCCCGGTGGTGACCTGCTCAGACCTGAGGTCGATGGTGGCCACGGCCCTGGGCAGCCCAGGGTGGTGTTCGTGGCCAAGTCTCTCTCCAGCCCTGCTGGAGCCAGGTCCCCAGTGGGCACTGCCTGCCCCTAGGGCACAGCCGGAGACCCACAGGAGCAGGGGACTTGGGGGTGAGCAGGAGACACTGGCAGAGGCCACAGGCCAGCTCAGCCCCCTGTGACCCCCGCCCCCCAAACTCCCAGGCGCACTGCCGCTGCTCACCCCTTCTACAGAGGGTGCTGAGCGTGGATCCCCTGCCTCTGCTCTCCGGCGTCACTAGGCAGTACTGCTTCTGCAGAGTGACCGCTGCTGGGTGAGGCATCCAGGCAGGGAATAAGACACCTGAGGTCCTTCCCGGGAGCCGCAGCCCTGGCTCCCCTGATGTAGTGTTCCTGCCGGGGACCCGGGATGCTGCACCTGCGTCTGGGGGCACAGGCTCTTGGCCAGGCAGTGCCCAGCGACCCTCATCCCCACACACCCGAGCCACAGGGCAAATGTGACCCACCACACCTGTGGAACGTTCTTCCTCAGTGGACGGCTGGCAAGGGTGGTCTGTGCTCTTCCCTGAGTCTGAGCATTGGGCTGAACCCAAGACCCTTCTGGTGGGCACTGGGGCCCCCCAGCAAGAGCCTGGACTAGTGGAAAGTACTGTCATACTGTGACTTACAATCAGAAATGTGCGCGGTCTTCATCCCTGATGTTGGCGCCGAGCTCCTAAAACCCTTGGAATTTCCCGAGTGATGGGCGTGATAAAGTTGTCCTTTGCTGTGTGACGGAGGTGACTCTGGGAAGGTCCCTAAGGATGGGGTCGGTTGCAGGGAAGTGACCAGGAATAGAGATTTGGAACCTCCAGCCCCACACCCAGACCTCGGGGAGGGGCGAGGGGCTGGGGGTCAGATCAATCACGAGTGGCCAGTGACTGAATCCAACAGCCTGCGTAGTGAAGGCTCCACAGAAACCCAGGAGGATGCGTCTGGAGAGCTTCGTGGTGGTGAGCACGTGTAGGTGCGGGGAGAGGGGCGCTGGAGAGGGCACGGAAGCCCCTCCCCGTACCTCATCCACCTGGCTGGTCCTGAGTCCTATCCTTGTAGGATAAGCAGTGATCTAGGGAGTGAATGTTTCCCTGAGTTCTGTGAGCCGCTCTAGAAAACTAACTTGAGACTGAGGAGGCGTCAAGGGAACCCTCTATCTACAGCCAGTCAGTCAGAAGCCCGGGTGCCCCCCTGGACTTGGGACTGGCATCTGGAGTGGGGGCATCGCGGGGGGCAGTCCTGTGGGACTGAGCCCTGAACCTGCGGGATCTGACGCGTCCCCGGGCAGGGGGTGTCAGAACCAAGCGGACTGCAGGACACCAGCTGGTGCTGAGGGGCTGCCTGGCGGTGGGGGGAGCCCCCTGCCCTTCCCCCCACGACACATAGTGGAATTGGTGACCGGAATCATTAAACACCCTAGTGCCAAAATGGGCAAGAGATTGACCACTCATGTCACCAAAGAAAACAGAAGGCACACACACCCATGAGATGTTCAACGCCATTAACGGTCAGAGAACTCACCGCTACAGTCCCCTTAGAGCGGCTCACGGGAAAGACGGGCAGCCAGGATGAGGGCCAGGGGCTGGAATGCACATTCCCAGGGCTGGGGATGTAAACCAGCTCAGCTGTTTTGGAAACGGTTTGGGAGTTTCTTACAAAGTCACACATACACACGCCCTACGGCCGAGACTTGACCAGAGGTGTTTGCTCCAGAAATGAAGGCTCGTGTCCACGCAGACTTGTGCGGGTACGTTCACAGCAAGCTTATCTGCGATAGCCAAGAGCTGCCTGGATGGAACACAGCAGCGTGTGCACAGCAGAATCCCGCTCTGCAGCAAAGTGGAATCATCGATGCACACAGCGCACGCAAACACACACACCCCACCCCACCGCGAGCACGCAGAGGGCATGCACGGCCTTCCACTTACACGGAGTTCTGCAAAGTGCACATTGACCAGCAGGAAGGGGGGCGGACCAGTGAGGGCAGGGCAGAAGGGGGGGATGGAGGTGCTGGTCCAACACCCAAACGAATTTAACTGAATGCTTTGAACGTGAACAGCTTACTGACTGCACGTCAATTCAACCTCAATAAAGCTGCTTCAAGAGGCCCGTGTGTGGCTGGAAGCGGCTGGCCGTGGGGTCAGGGGTCTGAGATCAGCCCCGGCAGTGGCGGGCCCAGAACGTGGTCCCTTCCCCAGGCTGAGCCCCAGACCTCCGCCCAGTGGACCTATCTGCCTTCCAGGCCCACCAGCCTCCCCCGAGCCCTGGGGATCCCTGGTCATCCCAGCTCCCACGCCCACGTGCTGTGAGAAGGTCTGGAGGAGCAGGGAGAAGGCCCTCAGGGAGGGACGCTGTGCAATGGCCAGTGGGAACCCCGCCCACCCCGGGAGACCCAGTTTGAGAACATGCCGGGAAGCCGTCACAACCTCGCAGGCCCCCTTTGCCTGGGTGCCTCGCGTCCTCCTGTCCTCTACCCGCCGCCCCGGCCATCCCCAGACCCACTCGGGCTCATGCGTATTCAGTAGGCGCTCAGCCACCAGAGCGAGGGAACACAGGCACCGGGCCCAGCGCCCCCCACCCCAGCTGACGGTGTGGTCAGCTCCCGGAGGCTCCAGACCAGTCTCTAGGGCTGAAGGAGCAGCCCTGGCCCCCTCTTCAAGGGCCACCTTAGTGACTGCAGCCCACTCAGGGCTGCCTGGGTAGCTGATGCACCCACCCCCAGGCCCCCTTGCCATGTGCTGTGTCACCCAGGCCCCTGCCCCGGCCCTCTGTGAGATCTCCCCATGCGAGGGTCTCGACCTGTGTGAACTCTCATCCCAAACCCAGGGACTTGCCAAGTCAGGTGACCCAAACCTATCGGGAGGAGGGAGGCCTTACTGAGGGTTCACTGAGAGTGGGTGGGGTCTACCCTCTGGGGAGCCCACAGCCGCTGTTGCGCTCAGCACAAAACAGGCCTTTGTGAGTGAAGATGGAGCTCCTGTTTAAACTTTTGGACTGTATGTTGGCAAGTCACTGCACTTTTCCATCATTTTCTTGAACTGGGATAATGCCAGCCCTGGTCAGCAGAGGCCCCCCCAGGACCCGCTGGGCCCCTGGAGCCCCTGGCTGGGTGAGCTTTGAGCGCTGCCGGGCAGGGCCAGGCCAGTTCATCTGCCGCTGGGCACGCCTGCTGGTGGCGGCGTCGGGTTCAGGGTTCCAGATCCCTCCCTGGGCGGGTGGTCTTCAACAGGCCTGGAACAGGGCATCGGGGGCCGGCAACCCCTTCTTGAGGATGAGGTTTCCGTAGAGGGCCGCCTCCCTGCATAAGGAGCAGGCTGAGTGCCGAGCTGGGATGGACAGGACTGGGGTGTCCAGAGCCCTGCTCTGCCACCCACCCTGTGCACTTTCAGCAAATCCCTCGGCTCTGCCATTCCCCGTGGGGCATCTAGTCTCCGATGGGGCAGGGGCTGAGTAGAGGGTGGGGAGGGCTCTGCAGTGGGAAGGGGTAGGGGCCCAGGCTCGGCCCAGATGCAGCCGGACCCAGCCAGACCCAGGAGGACCCAGTGGACCCAGCAGGTCCAGCCAGAGTTCACCCAGTTGTCACAACAGCAACAGCCTTTCTGGTCCACTCATAAAACTCCAATCTCTCTATCGTGGCCAGGGGGCTCTGGAAGGCAAGGGGGGCGGCTGAGGGCCCCAGGCCCAGTGGGGCATCAGCACATTCTCCAGGCTGGGGTCCCCAGGACGCTGGGCTCCTGACCTGCGAGGGCTGGGCGGACAGGTGCACAGGGGGCTGTGGTGGCCGCCTGCCTGGGGCCCTTGAATCGTCTGAGCTGCCCTGGGGGTCGGGGTGGGGCTGCTGTCCAGGACAGGAGCCCCGGGTCCTCTCTTCAGGAAGGTCCTGCCCAAGATCTGCTGGTGGGTGGTGCCGGGAGGACAGGCCCGGCCCCTTGAAGGGTGGGGGGCTGACAGGCAGCATTGGGCCAGGCCTCTGACCACAGATGGGGCTCCCCGCTTTCCCCTGGCTCCGCTCGGACAGGCTGGGGTGGGTGAGGACCCCCGGGCAGAGATAGGTCAGGGTCCTGGAAGGGAGCGGGGAGGCCGGGGCAAGGGGTGGCCATACGCCCGGGTAGAAGCTCGCACAACCATGGTGCAGGGTTCGGGGGGGGCCTGTCTTTCACTTCTCTCGGGACTCCAAGGAGGCACAGAGGATCCCTGACCCCTTTCCTGGTGGGGATCTCAGGCTCACCGCACAGCCGGCCCTGGAGAGGATGGATTGGTAGCTTGGCCACACTGGGGTCTGCAGGCCCCTCTCCCTGTCGCTGGGCACCAGCTCCACGACCACAGCCTGGAGACAGAGTGGGGTCAGCTCTGTGGCCCACTGCTACTGCCCCGGGTGCCTCCAGGACCCTTTGTTGGGTGACAGTTCAGGGCTCCTCTGGTCAGGCTCAGGGGTCTTTGGGGACACGGGTCCTGCCCCTACCCAAGGCAAGTGGCCCCCCTGAGTTCTGGCAAAGGGTAAACTGAGGCCCAGAGCAGCCTCACCGGGCTCTCCATGTAGCAGTCCAGTGGTAGCGGCTGCAGCACAGCCTCCAGGCGCTGAGGGATGCCCAGGCCTGAGGGCAGGGTGCCGACCTCAGACGCCGCCGTCTCCCACCCGGCCACCTGCTGCCCGTGGGGTGACACTTATTGAGGTCACATTGGTGTCTCCCCACCCTGGCCACGGCACCTGTCACTGTCTTGGCCCTGCCCATCCCCCTTCACTCTACCACACGGGTTGTTGTGGTGACCCCCAAACACTCGTCCACCAGGAGGGGCACCTGGGCCACCTCCTCGAACCCAGAAGGGCCTGGAGATGACCTCCTTGTGACGAGGCCAGTGGGGTCTGGAGGAAGGCCCCTCTGGCCCCAGGCTGCCCCCAGACCTGCCCCACTTGGCTCCAAGGGCCCCAGCTCTCCCGAAAGTTGGTTTCTGGTTGTTAAGCTAAGGCGCGCTCGTTGTACAAAACCAGGAAAAACAGAAGAAACAGAACCGGCTGTGATCTTACTACGTGAAGGAAACCCTGCTACTGTCGGAGTGCATTTCCTTCTGCCGTTTTCCCTCGTTTCAGCAAGGTTAGACTTTTCTGCACGTTGGACGCTGAATGCTAACTGCTTGTTTGCCGGGGTGTGTGTGTCACTTCTGGGGGCTGCACCGTGATTCACTTATGCCTTCCTTCTCTTCCACCATTTGGGCCTTTCTGTGGCCCACCCCGCGGAAAGGGAGGAGAGCACCTCGGGTTACCTGGCTCAAGGTGTAAACCGAGGCACAGCGGGCTCAGCTCCCTGAGCAGGGGGGGAAGCTGGGGCCACCAGGTCGGGAGCGCCCTGTCCAGGGGGCTGCGTTTACCCCACATTTCACATCTCTGTGCCTTTAGTGGCCTGAACTCTGCAGGGAGAGTCGTGTTCCTGCCTCACAGCATTGCTGGGGGTGGAGGCATCCAGGCACAGCCCAAGCCCAGCCCATGCCCCCCGTTACCCTCAGGACTGCTAACCCCTCTCTTACTGTTACCTCCTGGACCTGGCTCCAGGGCCCTCCCAGCCTCACCTCCCACTGGCCCCTGGGGGGATGAGAGGGTTTTAAGAGACGGAGTGTGTGGACACCTGGAACGTTTGGGGCCCGGTCACGAGTGGTGGGATTCTAGAGCAGAGTCAAGGCTGAACACCTGACCTGGACCAGGAACCGCTGCCCAGCCAGCCAGGACGGTGCCAGGCCTTAGCTTCCCCATTTGTAAGAAGACACCAAGTGGTGTGTGAGATGGGGCAGGAGGCCCAGGCTCACTTCTGGGGGCTGGGGGCTGCAGGGAGAATCCTGAGGGTCCTGGCACTGAGATTTCCTGGGTCACTGGTGGGTTATTGAGGAATTGGTGGGGGTAGGAGCAGAGCTGCAGCACCTGGGCAGCCCAGAGGCCGGATGACAGCCCACCCTCCCCACCAGAAGCTCTGCGCCCGCCGCGCTCACCGATCTCATCTCCGTGCCCCATCCGCACCAGGGCGTAGAGCGGCTCGGGGGACGGCAGCGCGGGGACGCCCTTCAGCACCACCCTGCTGGCTGGGCCTGAGAGGGCGGGGCGGCCACGAGGGACGGGGCCGGGGAGGGCGGGCCGCGTGTGGGGTGGATCCCGGAGGGGAGAGGGGCCAGAGGGGGCGGGTGCATGTAGGGGCGGGGCCCGGCGGGAGATGGGCGTGGCCTGAAGGGAGGGTCCCCCGGAGTGCGGAGGACTTGGGGTTGCCTGGGCCGCCTCGGGGCGGGGTCGACCCCAGCCCAGCCCCGCAGGCGCCGTCTTTCGAGGTCTCGCTTACCCGGCCAGGTCCAGGACCCGGGCACCCATGTGTGTTTGTGTTGGAGCTCCCCAGCGCCCTCCGTGCGTGAAGGCCTCCTCTCCAGCCCCCGTTCCGCCCCCAGGCCTTGGGGACTCGTCCCCCACCCCCTCTAGCCCGCAGGGTCCGTGGTGCCCTGGGGTGGGGAGGGCTGGGTGGCGGCACAGGGAGGATTTACTTCTTCACCCAACACTGTTCACACTGGAAGGACCCTGAGGACAGGTGGGTGCGACCTCTGGGCCAAGCGGGTGTGCTGAGAGCACCCCTGCGCTGTCTTCCAGGCGTCAGCCTGCTGAGACTCCTCAGGTACCTGGCTAGGGTGCCGCACCCCTGCCCAGGGAAGCAGTGCTCTGACTCCCCGTTGGGGCCCCAGCGACCTGGACTCCACAGGACCCGCCCCACTCCCGCCCCCACGCCCCCCAACACTAGGTGTCTTAATTTTGCGGGGGAGAGGTCACCTTCAGCTGGCCAGCTGAGGTGCATATAAAAGGAAGGATTTCAAGGAGCCCATACATCTTGCATCTTCCCATACATAGGAAAGCACTAAATTCATTAACTTGAGATGTCTGGTTTTCTTTAATTAGCAGTAATATTTTGCTGTTCGGACTACCTGGTTTTTTGTTTTGTTTTGTTTGCAAAAACTCCTGTACATACTGGCTCCTCCTGTTACCCGAAAACTGCGTTCACCTCTCGGTGGGTGTCGAGCCGAAAGACAGCCAAGCCAGCAAAGGTGGGGAGAAGGAAGAATTTATCACAGCAAATAAGGAGAGCACGGGGGCCTTCCCAAAGCAGGGTCCCCCCCAGCAAAACTGGGGACGTTTTAAGCTAAGGGCACATGCATATTCAGGAAGGGGCTTGAGCAGAGAATTTAGCGTAAAGTTGGGGCAAAGGTCAGGTCGACAGAGTCACGTCTTTGTTGATTTAAGTCAGGACGGTCAGCATCACCATTCCACCCTCCACCTGGGTAGGGACCTTAGTTCCTGCACAACTCCAGGTATATTATTATGTTTATCCCTTGAGGAGGACCTAGGACTCTGCTTTATCACTGCCTTTTCTCTGTCCCTGTGTTCCTCTGTTCGTTTAACATCACTGATTACTGAGACCTGTTCAAGGGCAAGCACCAGGGCCAGGCTTAGACCACAAAATGGCACAGGCCAAAACGGGTTCTCATATGTTCAGAAAGCCATTCCTGGTTCTCTTTCTCCGGGGACCCCCTGCCCTATCTGCTTACACTCCCTCACCTCTTCGGAACAGTCCCTGAGAGCTGAGAGGCTGTATCCTGGGCTTAAGTCCTCAGCAAGTCCACCGAATAAAGCATAATTCTCAATTTTTAGGTTGTGCATTTATTTCAGTCGACAGGTGTGATTGTGTTTTCCCAAAATGGCAGCACTGCCGCCATGTTGTATCTGACACGCCACAGTGAGTGACGCGCCTCCCCTGAGGCGGGTTTGTCCCCTTGCTTGAACCAGGTGGACCTTTGTGTGACTGCCTCCAATAGAATGCTTCACATGCTGCTGCCTGGCTTCTGGGGGCAGGTCATAAAAGGCAGTACAGTGGGACTTCCCTGGTGGCACAGTGGTTAAGAATCCGCCTGCCAATGCAGGGGACATGGGTTTGAGCCCTGGTCCAGGAAGATCCCACATGCCGTGGAGCAACTAAGCCCGTGCGCCACAACTACTGAAGACCGCACGCCTAGAGCCCGTGCTCCGCAACAAGAGAAGCTGCTGCAATGAGAAGCCCAGGCACCGCAATGAAGAGTAGCCCCCGCTCACTGCAACTAGAGAAAGCCCACGCACAGCAACGAAGACCCAACACAGCCAAAAAAAAAAAAAAAAAATGGCAGTATGGCTTCCTCCTGATTCTCTCTTCAGAACACTTGCCCTGGTGTTATAATCAAATGCATCCGATTTTCTCCCGAGGAGACAAAACCAGTTAGACAAGCACAATTTAATTTAGTTTATTTTGCAGGACAAGAAAGGTCAACTTGACCTGGGACAGTTCTTGTTTATGCTTCTGAAAATCATAAGCAAAACTTAAACAGTTCCCCCAACTGGCATGGGGTAACCACTAGCCAACTCTCTTTCATTTAAGAAAATTCGAATCTTGTAACCAATCACTATAAAGAATCACTGCCCTAACACTACATATGCTGCTTTGTAACAACATCCTCTGAGCCTCATCCCATGTTTTGGTTTGAGTACTCCTGGTTTGCAAACTGTCTTTCTGGTGTGTGCACAATACACTTTTACTAATCTCTACCTAAGTAATTTGTTAGTTTTCCTTCTGTTTTTTGTGAACTTCTGCCACTGGGAATGCAGACACGGTGCTGGCAGGAAGCCGAGGGAATGAACGTGGTGAGCCCTCCTGTGGGCATTCGGCCCACAGCCCCAGCTCAGCCCAGTGATGCTGCATCAACCACCAGGCCAGGGAGCGATTGCTCAGGCGGGGCTCCAGCTGAGGCCCCAGACTTTGTGGAGCAGAGACACGCTGACCCATGGCGCCCTGTCTGGATTCCTGACCCACACAAACTGAGAAAGGAGAACTGATGATTGTTCCTGTAAGCCACCGAGTTTAGGGATAATTTATTATGTGGCAGCAGCTGACTAATGCAGGTGGCTCCTGTGCCCTGCCGAGATGTCACCAAAAGCCCTGCTGACGCTGCCCTTGGCCTTCAACCCTGTGTCTGCTCTCTCTCTACCCCGCTCCACACATGCAGGCTTGAGTGCAGACCCCAGTGCAGATGCCCGTGCCTGCACCGGCCGGATCATACCCCCGCTTAAGAACCCCAAACCTAACTTCACTGCCCAGCCTGCAAACGGGCTCTCGCTCAGGCTAGCTGGCTCTCAGCCCTCCAGGCTCTGGCCCTCCTTACGGGGCTGCCCGGTTTGCCTGCCGGCCACCTGAGTACTTACTGCTGCCTGTGCCGCAGGAAACAGCCCAACCCAGAGCCGGGACAGGCCAGGCTCTCTCCCCTCGGAGCCCGCCCCCTTCCACCTCATTCCCAAATGGACCCTCAGCCCTGCGGTGACACGCCCGGAGGCCTGGCAGCTCCTGCGGAAGTTCTGTACGTGAAAGATGGCAGAGAACCGGAAGTCAACAGACAACCCAAGTCCACTGCCCGGCCCTGCGGAGTCTTGCTGGTCAAGGAAGCTGCCCAGGGAGGTGGTCCGCAGGGCCCACACTCAGGCCGCCCACAGTGGCCAATTCCACCCAGTGTGAGCAGTTTCTCCTCCAAAACCTGAGTGGAGAGACTTGAAGTTAACATTCCCTGAAGCTTATCTTTTTAGTAGGAATATAAGAGGGAAAAGCCAATTTTATACGGATAGATGAGAATGCAAGGTCTCAGCTTCAGAAACAAATCAAAACCCCCAAACAATATGGTGCTAGAGGTCAATTAACTCAAGAGGGAGTGGAGGGCTCTCTGGAGCTTGTGGTCCTTGAAGTCCTGCTGGGGTTTGCCTTCAACCCCGCCACCCACAGCAAAGCACGCAGTCACACCACTGGACGGTCCCCAGTCTCCCCAAGTAGGGGCCACCACGCAGCCTGAAGAGAAGATCCTGTTCCCTGGGCCTGGGGCTGCGGCCCCGTCCCTGCCACATGCTGGATCCCAAACGACCCTGTGGGTGCAGACCTTTGAGACACACACACTCTCATGTACGGGTTCCATGTCGAGCCCTTTCTCGGCTTCCGGCTGAGCTGCTGAGACAAGGGTACCCGCGAGTCTTGGATGGGCCCCTCACAACTGGCCCCCCAGCACTTGGAGCTCTGTTGTTCGGAATCGGTTATGAAGGTCACCGCCCAACGCGTGTGAAAGATTAAACTAATGCACGGACTTTCTCAACTCTAAGGTTTCCTGCTGCACATACCTCTGCTTGTTCATTCTAAATGGCATGTCACTAGTGCAAACCCCGGTTACACAGCTTTAATAAATGGGGTTCCCACCTCTACTGCCATGAAGACCGCCCAGCTGGGCCCGGCCTTCCTGACCCCAGGGGAGAGCCTGATCTCGTGGTCCCCTTGTACCTACTCCCTTGCCCACCGTTCAAGGGCGACTCCATCAGAACTCTGTCTGCTGTCTGGGGAGGGTCTTGTGCCGTAACAGAACCACTGCGCCCTTCTCAAACTCCCGACCACGGCACACACTGCAGAATGACAGGGCCTGGGCAGCGACTGCAGAGCTAACCTCCCCAGGCAGACGGTCAGCAGAGCAATTCTTTTTGGGCCCCCCAGCTGCGCAAATATGACCAGAGCACAAGGGCGAGTCATTGAAGGTGCTGGGCGGCCAGAGCTCCACTGGCCATCTCAGCTCTTCCTCAGATGCAGGTGGGTCTCTCTTGGGTGTTCAGCATGGGTCCTGGGTAGGGGGAGGGTACACACTCTGGGCCCAGCCCTGCCCAAGGCCATGACTGCAATCCCACATTCAGAAACCTCCGCTGGGCAGGCTGGTCAACAGGCTACCTGCCCATGACTGGCAGCAGGACAAGGTGGAGGAAACGCCTGTACCAGGTGCTCAGGTCTTCGCTGCGTGGCGGCTCCCGGAGGAGGGCTCTGAGGCCCGATTCCCAGCAGGCAGGCGCATGTCTCACCGTGCAGCGCTTGCTTAGGCAGGGCTCTGCCCTGGGTTCTGAGCAGCACCCGTCATGCCGACACCTGAGGCTCTCTCTGCAGAGCAAGACGGATGGGGTGGGGGTGGGGGCACAACGAAGCCAGCAGAGCTCACCCCTCACCTGGCCGTCTGTTCACCTGCAGCTGCGTTGCAGTGGGCACCGCACCAAGATCCAGGGGGATCCTCACGGTGCCGGCGTTCGCTCCCAGAGGTGCAGCTGCTCTGGCCTCACCTTGGAGGGTCTGAGGACATTCTGAGGTTGGGGGGCCCTGACCCAGGCCAGTGACTGCCGTCTTCACCTGTGCAGCCCTCCCAGGCAGCAGGAGGACAAGGGCCTTCATCCTGTGCTCCAGGACTCATACGACTCTCCCCCTGGACACCTGCTCGAGAATCTGGTGTAAAATGGAGGGTTTAGAGTTCCGAGCTGGGCTGTGACTTGAGGATTAAACAGCAGACGTCTGGTCGGGGCAGAGGCGGTTCCCGGTACCTCGGTCACTCATTCACCCAGGGTCCTGCAAGGTGCCTGACTGCACGGTGGCCCGGGGGACGCAGCTGGCCCTCCCGGGGATAAGGCCAGCAGAGGAACCTTGGCGTGTAAACTCTACGTCCTCCCACAGCAAAGGGCACCAATCCTGCGCCAGGTCTGGGAGCACGCATTTTAAACCAACGCCCCAGGGATTCCAACACAAGCAGTCCTCACACCAATCTGGGAGCCTCGGCCCCCAGCAGCCCAGCCCCACAGTGCCGCCCTTCCCTTCCAGACGCACTCGAGCTGAAATGCAAGGATTTGTGCAGGGAATGTTCGCTGCACCGTCGCCACGGCGGCTCTGAAGCAAGAAGCTGGACACGGTCTAAACATCCAACACCATGTGAACACGCAGATCACGACATACACACATCATGAAATATTTCAGGGCCACTGAAAGGAGTGCTAGTAGGAATAGTATTCAGCCATGACACGAAATGAAACTGTTAGTGCTACAACCTGACGGACCTTGGAAATATTATATTAAGTCCAGTGACAGAAAGAAAGTGGAACAGAGGGCCCCAGGGCCGGGGGCTGGAGTAGGGAGTTAGTGTTGAAGGGGTGAGGTTTCTGTCTGGGGTGATGAAACAGTCTGGAGATGAAGAACACTGTGAATACACTGAATGCTGTGAAAATGTACATTTAAAAATGGGAAAAATCAAAACAAATGCTAGTCAAACAGAAGGATAGGGTGCATTTGTGTGCTAGAAGCAGACGGTGATCAGTGCACCTTGCAGAAACGTGTACGTGGAGAACCATTTCTGTTCAAAGAAAACGGAATTTCACACCGGAGCATGTGTTCATGCATGTGGGCACAGAAAGACACCTGGAAAGGCACGAACGAGTGAACAGTGGTTACCCTCGGAGTGGGACGTGGGTGCCTTACTTTAAGAGCCTTGTTCTGTTTGAATGTTGTTACTGAGAATGACAAGTTTTAAAAAGTGACAGAACATTCAAATCTAGCGATAACTAAAAGAAAGGCATAATGTGACCTGAAGTTTGTCATTTAGTCAAGAGCATGTCTCTTTAAAGGCTCAGCAGCGAGGCCATCCCTCTGAGCGGCCACGTCCACCGGCTGCAAACGACACCGCGACCAAGCTGGGGGTCCTCACGAGAGCCGGGTGAAAGGCCCCCTGCTGCTCGGGGGGGCGAGAGCCCACACAGCCCCCCAGGGCCCCTCACAGCTGGAGAGAAGCTGTGTGTCACTGACACTGCGTTTGAAAGAGGATTTATTTGTTCTGAAGCTGACAGGCCGTTTTTCCTCTTTAACTTGAGGAGCTGAGGCACAGGCAGCCAGCTCCTACTGGTCCTTGAAGCTGGCCTTTCTCTTCTCCACAAATGCGGACATCCCTTCCTTCCGGTCTTCCTGGTGAGAGAAGGGGAAGGGCAGAGATGGATGGTCACTCTGCGTGGGGTCCAGGCGCCAGGCTCTGCCTGTGTCAGGGCTGCTCCCTGCCCTTGGCCGTCCACTCACTGGGTTCTGCAGCGGGATCACCTCGAAAACTGTGAATGATCCCAGTTCCCAGGGGCGGCTTGGGAATGGGTATTTTTCCATTAAACACCCCCGCCCCGCCTTTGTGATGGTCATTCAGGGACCACTAACCTATGAGTCGAACAAACTCCCATCTACAGAGAACCTCAGATGCACATACTTGGGTCATTCACCAAATCATGACCAGGATTTAGCCGCGCCCTAGGCCAGGTGGTGTCCTGAGGGCCAGGAAGCAGGACACGAGAGTCCAAGCTCTACCTCTGCATACCTTCCTCTGTGTGCACATACGCACACACGCATGCAGTCACACACATGTGCACACACGCACCTGCACTTCCTCAAGAGCTAAAGCCATTTTTAATCTTTTATAAAACACCTAGATATGACTTTCTGATAATAAAAGATCAGTTTTAATGACTATTAAGAGAATGATTTCTTTGAGTTACTGGCAGATATCCTAGAAAATAATGCTCCAAGGCTTCAGATTACGACAGTATAATATATTCGAGCCCCATTCCAGGTAACTGGAACAATCTAGGAAAATTATGAGTAAATGGATTGCATTTTAAATACAGGAGTTGCTGTTTAAGGGTGCAATTTGTAAGATCTTTTGTAATAGGAAATAACCCTGTGTAAGTTTCTGTACTTTTGAACTTCCACACACTGTACTTATTTGAAAAAAAATCAATGCTCAGTGATAGAACACATGTGGTCCAGTTACAGGGGAAGCTAAGAGTTCTGACCAAAGAGAAATGGTATTTAGTGATAAAACCTATAAGGAAATGCCAGGAACGTCTATGGCTGGACCGTGTGTGATTCTCCATGTGAATGAGGCTTACTTACGGTAGCAAAAGTTGAATAGAAGAGTTTCT